TTTTGAAATATGAACAATTTTGACTAAAGACTTTCTTATTGAAGGTAAAAAGAAAGGATAAGTTGTGGACTGTTTATACAATTGTCAATCTGATGTATTGGTATGCAAACATGGAGGTCACTAAATATGAGCAGATGACTCTGGGATCTTTACCAACACAGCTTGCTCAGGAAAAACCATATCAAAGATTCTGTCAGACACTTTTCATGTGAGAGACCAGGTTCCAACTAAATGAGGGGTCCAAGTACTATGCTGCATCCTTAATGTGAAGTATTTCCAGAAACATTGGACTCAGAAGCACTGTTTTCCCCAAGTGGTCCACCAAATAACAAATTCAAATCATCTTCAAAGAAGCAGCTGTGGCCTGGGAGTTTTAAGCTTTGGTAGGCGGTCTGCAGTAAACACACAGTTAACGTGAGACATAAGACTTTGTAAAAATGCCTTGTTTGGTCAAAATTTCCACTGTTCTTTATTGATGTATGTTTTATTTTTATTTGAAAAACTATCAGCAGCCTATGGAAGTCAAATCCACAAAAATAAATAGGAAGCCATCATTAACACCATAAGCTGTCTGATTTTCTTTAGACATGCTCAAATTTTGATATCTGTACAACCCCTCGATTCCAATGGCTATATAAATTTTCACTGCTTTCTTAGCTGGTTCTGCAGCACTAAATCTCAAAAGCATTACTCAATCCATTGTTTGAAAAGCTTAAACTGGGGCATGTGGTTTTCTTCTTTCTGATGCTTCCTAACGTTTGCAAATATTGATGTCTTGAATTGTAGCACCATGTCATAACCTAACACGGATTGAGTAGTGTGGAATTGGTTTTCTTCAAAAGTTCAAACAGGTTTATTAACAGCTGAGTCTAATATTTGCAGTTACAGATGTATTTAGTCTCGTATTATGCTGCTTGCTGGACTGCACAGGACAGTTAGTCTTTGTGGTTTACATCCTAGTCCTTGGTTTGCTAATAAGCCAATCTCTTTTTAAAGCAATAATACAACAGTGTATAAGGTAGTCAATGGTGCTCTGTGGTTCCTGTGCTACTGAGATCATGAAAAAGTTATTTTTTTAAACCTAGAAACCTGGAAGGTGTATGCTGTAAAGGGAGGCCACACAGCCCCTCTTGCCAGTGCCAGCTTTAAAAAATCGTAATGTCTCAATTTCTAACTGTTGGTTAATAATCCTGCAGGGTGCAGTGCTTCGTGTTTGTCCAGTGGTTGTTTCTGCATCTGTCATTCTTCCAGCCATTTGAGTTCCAGATCCCCATCATCCTCTAGATGAGCAAGAAGAACTCTCAAATCCTCTCTGACCCTCAAGTCTTTCCAGCACCACTTGTTTTTATTGCCCAAGTTTAGATATGGTAATTGGCAAAAGAAGCAATGATAACGTGAAATATAACATCTGTGAATGATTAGGTTCTGGAATGCACTGTCTAAGAGTGGTGGAAGTAGGACCAATTGACACTTTCAAAGGAGAACAGAATCATCATTTGAAAAAGACAAATTTGGACTCCACAGGGGAAATTGTAGGAGAATGCACGAAGCATATTGTTCTTTCAGAGATCCTGCTCACAAACAACGTTGTATCAAGTGGCCAGCTCTTATGATGTAACCATTCTGATTTGCTCAGTTACTAAGTAGGCCATCAACGCTGCAAATTACTGGAAGGATCTCAACATCTTTCGCCTTCCTCCTCCAATACCTGCTGTCTTTCCACCACCTTTTTTCCTGAAGCTAGGGATTTATTTTAGGAGAAGGTTGCATTGTATAAGTGGAATGCAAAAATTACTCTTGTAATTTTTTTTCTAAATTATCCCATTTGTTCAGCAATTTAAATGGGAAGTCAGGAAAGAAACAAAGATGCTATTTGACTCTCGATTATGACAGAGCTGTTCCACCTCGTTAATTATCCTAGACCTGTTTATCTCCTCTTCTGTACTCGCATGTATTTTTAGTGAAATATTATCTTATTGTCTCAGATGTAATGTACACCTGTCTTAATTAGATATTTTGTAAGATTCTATTCTGGAGTAGAATTACCTGACTTATTTTGAAATCTGATCTGAAAACTCTTAGCTGTTTTGGTCAACATATTTCTACAAATTAAAATACAATTCAGTTTAAAATTCTGGCGCTTGAAACCAAGAAATTGGAGTAGGCCCATTTGGCCCTTCAAGCCTGCTGTGCCATTAAGTATGATCCTGGCTCCTCATCTGTCTCAGTCCTGTTTATGCTTTCTCCCTATACCTTTAGCCCTCAGAATTATATCTTAGTTCATTTTGAAGACTTCATAGCTACTTTCTGGCAGTGAAGAATAGAGTGTGCCCTGTTTTGCCACAAATATCTTAATCTTCCTGTTTTCGGTCTGATTTTTTTAAAATAAGTTTTTAGTAATAGAATATGTCATCATACTGCCATCAATAAAATCTATAGGACATCCTACTTGAAACATGAAAAACAATTTCTGTTTCATAAAATTTTAATAAGACTTTGACATGTTCTTGGGAATGGCAAGCAAGTGATGCATCCATTTATGTATATTGGCCACAAAACCATTTGCAATAATATATAGGTTTCATGAACTTTTGAAAATAAATCACAAAAGAGTAACCAAACAACAAAATTTACACCAAAGCAGACATTTGAGCAGGTGATTTAGTTAGCTACCAAGAAGCATATTGAAGGAGGGGGAGGTTTTTGGATATTGGTAATCATTCTGAAATATGTGCAATCAAGCTAGCGTTCCTTTATTCCAAGTATCATACTTAACCATTAATGAGAGGTTCCTATTTTAACTATTTAATAATATAAAATGTTCATAATTACCATGATGTATTTTTTTAAGACTAAAAATATTTTAGGTGGGTAATATAAACCTCTTGCCTAGCTGCTGCCCTGTGAATTGATAAAAATAACATTTAAGTATATTTAAAGTAATAAACACAAGTTGAAAATACACACACATGTAGGTCTGTATAGAGGTATATTTACTGGCAAGAAAATATAAATAAATGCTGCCCAGCCAGTCAGCCATTCCGTATTCATTTCTCTCAGCCTCTCTTTTAGAGGAAATGCTAAGTAGTAATGAAATTAACAATGACTTTTTTCTCCCACACTCTATCCAGTAAAAGAACTTGTGCTTAATAGATCTTTTCAGGAGGCTTTTCCTTTGGCCTCTTGACTCCTAGGTAATTGCATTGTATAGCGTGCTACAGAACCATACAGATCAGAACAGCTTGCAGATTTATTCAGATGAAGTTGAGGTAAATATTAAGCATTGTCACTTTAAGGGTGTGGTCCCAGAGAACTGGAAAATAGCTAATGTACCACCTGTTTAAGAAGGGAGTGAGGCAGAAGACAGGAAAGTATAGGCTGATTAGCCTGACCTCCATTGTTAAGATTAGAATTCTTTTGAGGAGGTAATGAGTAAGTTAGAAGCAGGAGAGCCAGTGGAGGTTGTCGATGTGGAGGTTGTCGATTTGGATTTCTAGAAGGCCTTTGACAAGGTGCTACACGAAGCCTGCCAAATAATATAAAAGCCCAAGGTGGTAAGCACTAAGTACTGGCATGAGTAGAGGATTGGCTGACTGGCAGAAGGCAGAGTAGGGATAAAGGCGACTTTCTGTGGACTACAGCTGGTGACTAGTGGAGTTCCACAGGGGCCTGGGTTGGGACCAGAACTATTCACATTACATATTAATGATGAAGGAATGAGGGCATTGTTGCCAGGTTTTCAGATGGCACAAAGATATTGGAGGGACACGTAGTATTGAGGAAGTGGGGAGGCTGCGCAGAGACTTGGACAGGTTAGGAGAATGGGCAAAGAACTGGCAGATGGAATACAATGTGGCAAAGTGAGAGATTAGGCTATTCGGTTGGAAGAATGGCGGCGAATACTATTCTAAATGAGGGGGAAAAATCTTTGTAAATCCTAGTTCAGATTGTTTTAAGATTTAACATGCAGGTTCAGTTGGCAGTCAGGAAAGCAAATACAAAGTTAGCCTTCATGTCAGGAGGACTAGGAGACAAAGGCAGATAGGTACTGCTGAGGCTGTATAAAGCTCCGGTCAGCCCAAAGGAATATTGAGATCTGGTTTGGGCCCTGTTAGCTAAGCATGGGTATGCTGGCATTGGGAAGGGTCGAGAGGAGGTTTACAAGAATGATTCCAGCGATAAAGGACTTCTCAAGAGGAACAGTTGAGTCTGGATCTGCACTTGGAGTTCAGTAGGATGAAACTTGCAGAATACTGAGAGGCCTGGATAGAATGAACATGGCCAAGATGTTTCCACTAGTAGGAAAGGCTAGGACCTGAGGGCACAGCCTCAGTGAAGGGATGACCTTTTAGAATAGAACTGAGATGAGGGGGGATTTCTTCAGATAGAGACTGATTAATCTGTGGAACACATTGCTGTAAAAGGCTTTGGTGGCCAAGTCATTGAGTGTCTTTAAGACAGATGTTCTTGATTGATAAGGGGATTAAAGGTTATGGGGAGAGAAGACAGCAGAATGGAATTCAGAAACCGAACAGCCTTGATCAAATGGTGGAGCAGACTCAATGGACCGAATTGCCTAATTCTGATCGTACATCTTATGGTCATAAAGCTGCATTTTACAGTTGCAAAATGGTCATCTTGCAGGCAGATTTGCAAGTTTTCCTCATCCCGCTAATATTTTGGACCAACTCAGAATTTTTAAGACTGTTTTGAAAATTATTTATTTTATAAGAAAATAACAACTTCACTTGTCAGATCCCTGCTACCAAACCAATTGATGTTGACTGACTTTTTCTGTCTCATGGGGACACAGAGGAAATGCTGATATTTCAGTTAATTTCCTTTTGCTCCAGTCCCCATTCAGTTGTTTGATATTTCTTTTTGAAATTGAGAATATTTTAGCAAGTAGCTAATAATCTGTTAATGAATATTTTTACAGTGTTAAGTAAAGTCAGTTTTGTTTAATGCTTGCTCACCAACTATTTTCATGTCTTAACCAGGCTTATGCTTCAGGATGTGATGTCGTGATTTTAGCCAGTGATTTTGAAAGACTTCAAATTATTCCTGGGGCCAAACATGGAAATATCCAAGTTGGATGTGTTGATTGCTCCATGCATCAGGGAAAGGTATGTCAGATTACTTCCTAACTGTGTACTTTGATTATGCCACGGTTCACAATGCATAGAAGCAGGAAGAGGCCATTCAAATCCTTGAGCCCTGATATATTAGTCAGTTATTGTATAGCTTAATTATATTTACCTGCCGTAATTCCGTAACTGCTTCCCTTTTTTAAAATGAGGGATCACATGGTGGGCATGTTGGCGCAGTAGTTTTCCCTGCTGCTCACACAGCTAGGGGCCTGAGATCGATTTCAACCTTGGTTGACTATGTGGAGTTTGCACGTTCTCCCCTGTCTGCGTGGGTTTCTGCCAGGTGCTCTGGTTTCCTCCCACAGTCCACTGTGCAGGTTCTGGTAGATTGGCCATGCTAAATTGCCCTGTGGTATCCAGGGGTGTGAAGGCTAGATGAATTAGTCAAGGTAAATGTGGGGTTACAGGGATAGTGTTGTGAGGGGTTGAGGGGGGGTTGGGGATGGATCTGGGTGTGATGCTCTTCGGAGGGTCATTCTGGGCTTGATGGGCCAAATGGCCTCTTGCTGCACTGTAGAGATTCTATGATTCGACATTGGCAAAATATTGTCTTAAAGTGGAGGTGGAAAACATGTTTTGCCTTCTGGGCCCACAACTGGAGGACACTTTTAAAATTAGCTGTCACCTTTTTGTAAGTCAAAAGTGAACGAATTTTGTTTTTTTGACTTGTGCACCTTTGGAACTCTGCTTCAGAAGGCACTGCCTCAGAACTCCCCTTCAGTTCTAACTGCCAGACCTGCTAAGTTTATCCAGTTTTATTTCAGACCTCCAGCATACAATGCTTTGCTTTTAACAGATCAGCCATGATCTTATTAAATGGCTGAAGAGAGTCAAAGGGCTTACTCCTTCTAAATCCTATGATCTCACCCATCGAAAGTTCAGTTTCTCCAGTTTCAGTATTCATCTTCTAATGAGAAAAATACACTCATTGTTTGATTCTACTGCACTTAATATCTAGTGAAACATTGCTCTAATGGAAGATTGGCTTTCTAAGTGGTAGGTCGTTACAAACAGTGGAGGTTGAAAGAGACTTGAAATCCAAATCATTCAAATGTCATGAAAAGGTGCAGAGAAACTGCAAACTTTGGACCCTTGTTCAGGAAAGATTTGTAAGGATAAGCCCAGCAACAAACGAATTAGTTTAATTTCAATAGTGGAAAACCATTGACAGTTTTTTTTGTCTCTTGGAAAAGAGTGGGTTGATTAGGAAGATTTCAAAAGTGGACTTTGTGTTTGACTTACTAGAGGTTTTTGAATCAGTAACACTGATGTGATCTGTGTGGACTTCGAGAAGTTGCTTCATACAGAACCACACAACAGACTTGAGAGGAATGGTATAGGTCACAGGTGAAATGAGCCAGTAGCAACGTGGATGAGAAATTGACTGAGTGATAGGAAACAGTAATGGTCAATGCTTATATTTCAAGCTGGTGGATGTTTAGTCGTGGAATTTCTAAGTGTTCAATATTGGGACCGTTGCTTTTCCTGATGCATGCTAATCATCTAGATTTTGATGTGCAGGTAACAATTTCAAAGTTTGCAGATTAACAAAACTTGGTAAAATTGTAAATCGTGAGTTTACTGTAGAACGCAAAAGCATGTTGACAAATTGGAGGAGTGGACGAACAGGTGGCAAATGGGATTCAGTGCACAAAGGTTTGAGATAATGCTTTTTGGTAGGAAGAACATTGAGAGATGAGAAGATTGAGGGTACAGTTCCAAATAGCACGCAGGAGCAGAGGAACCCAAGTGTGTATATATTTGTGCAGATCACTGAAAGTTGCTGGAGAGCTTAATACAGTTTCCATGGCTTTATTAATAGGGGCGTAGAGTACAGGAGCAATGGGGTGATGTTGAACTTGTGGAAGCCACTTGTTAGGCCTCAAGTTGGAGAATTTTGTACAGATATGGATGCCACATTATAGAATGTGAACATATTGGTGAGCATGCCGAAGTTATTTCCAAGAACAATTCCAGAGATGTGAAATGTAAGTTTTGACCTTGGATTGAAGGAGGTGAGATTGTCCTCCTTGGAGAGAAGGGTAAGAGGAAATCTAATGGAGATTTTCAAAACCATGAGGGACCAGGATAGAGTAGATGGGGGAATAACTTTTGTCACTTATGAAAGGATCAAGAACCAGAGGGCATAAGTTTAAAGTGATTTGTACAAGAAGCAAATGTCACATGTGAAAATCTTTCTCAGTGAGTAGTTGGGGTATGGAATGCTTTGCCTGAAAGTGTGGTGGAGGCAGGTTCATTTGAGGCATCCAGTGATTATTTGGATAGAAATAACGTGCAAACATATGGGGGATAAAGGGGGAGGCTACCTGGTGGCATTGTTGCTCATTTGAAGACCCAGTTCAGAGATCAAGAGCTGAATGGCCTCCTTCTGTGCTGTTCGACTTGTGTGATTCTGTGAAGTCATAAGATGACAATCTTGGAATGAGCGGGATACGTTTACCAAAATTATACGGGAGTCCAAGGTCTGAATTGCCAGGAGGCATAATACAAGTTAGTTAACGAGTGCCTAAAGATGTAAGGAATTCTTGTTGCCTTCTTTTGATATAATCAAAATAGATTAATTAGCTATTTTCTTGGGCTTTTGTGTTCTTTGCTTACAGAAGTTAATGCACCAAAGTTGTTGTTTATCTGTAAGGCTGTTCAAGACAGTTGATGACTTGTTGCAACAGAATTTTCCACTGTGTAATGAAAAAAAGTGATGGTATGACTAGACTAGTCAGATCCCATAGTTAAACCTGGCTAGATTTTATTTTCTTTTTAGTTAATGTGGTGGTTAGTCACTGAGACATGTTGATAGAAGGCCACAGATTTTCATTAAGAACAGAACAAATTTATTACGCAAGAAATTTTTAATAAGCTATAAAAATAAAGAAGGAAATTCGGACTGCCATTCAAATAGACATTAAAACGAAGTTTCAGTTTTCCTGACATAATCCATGATTGAGACTCAAGTCCAAAAATCTTAGTCCTCCTTTTCAAATCTTTAGGGTTCTTAACTAACTTCTAGGTTCTTTCCATGTACTGTGGAGACAATTCAATGCATTATTTCTAAATCTAATGTTTCATTATATCAAGAGTCAAGTTTCTCAATTTTAATAATGCACCAATATCTACCTGAAGTCTGCTGCTTTGGAAGTGTCACAAAACTCAGTCGTTTTGCTGAAGTAGATGGTCCCTGGGCTGCCCTAATGCCATCTTTTTCCTCCAAATAAGTGTCACCCAAGGCTAGGATCGAGATTGGAGCTAGGGTGCTGTAAGGCAACTACTAATCACTGAGCTATCATGCCAGCCCCGATCAATCTTTAATCAATCTTCTGCAGCTTCAGTATGTTTGCAACACTCTTTTACTTGAATAATTGGGATCTTTAAGGGAGGTAAAACAAAAAATGGAAATTAAAACTTACTTTGTCGTTAAATTTAAAAAACTATCTTTAAAATGTACATTGTTTTTGTACTGCAATGCAGGTTGCATCAATTTGCTCGTTTCTCCAAATGTGTTGGTGGATATTTGATAATCTTTTTGCTTTCTACATTGACGTTCACTGTATATCTAATGCTGAATGTTTTCTTGTATCCCATGGCAACCATGATCAGTGTGGTATACATCTATGCATGCTGTTGCTTTATCTGAAATTAATTATTAGAGATGCTCGCAAGAGATTTTCAATAAAATTGGAAAATTATTGAATGGCAAAACAACACTGACCTACAATTTTCAATGAATGAACCTGTAAATGGGATATCACTTAGTCTCAGAAATTGAGCAGAATATTGTCAGTTTAAAACAAAGATGATTTATTGACTTCTAATTATTCTAACTGAGATGTGATTTTATAAATTTTCCAAGCACACGTGCTTGGGTAATTGTAGGAATAAACAATCCGTTTTAATTTCTTAAATGTGTTTTCTCCACAGATTGCAGCATCGTATGGAAATGTAATCTGCATTTTTGAGCCCATTGCACTTTTAAATCAGAAAACTAAGCCTTCTATGGTAATTAGAGACAGCTTACACTTTGTTTTTAAGCCCATTGAAAATGTTGCTCCCTTGAAATTTGATTTCTACCTCAAAGTAGTTGTTAGTATCTATTTGGCCAGGCTCTTTAAAGTTTTTTTTTGGTCAGCAAATGTTTTGCAGAGAGACTGTTGTTTGATTCTCCAAGTTACTGAGGGTTTTACATTTTCTAGTCGAGTTTCTGATCATCCACTATGAAATCTAATGCCTATCTAGCTAGGAGTATGCCATTAGGATTTTAGTGTGCAGGACTCTATAACAACAGAAGAATAAGGAGCAGGAGTTGGTAATTTAGCTCCCAAGCCCGCTCCACCATTTAATGCAATCATAGCTGATTTCTTCTCAACCTTAACTTGACTTTCTTGCATGCTCCTTATAACGCTTTAACCTATTGCTAACTAAAGATCCAACTATTTCCTCCTTCAGTTTATCTTGATATCCACCGTACTTTGGGTTAGTGAATTCTACAGATTCATGATGTTTTCTGAGAAGTATTTTTCTACCTGGTGTCTTAAAAGACTGACACGCCTTGGACTAAAACCATGACCCCTCATCCTAGATCAAGAGGAAACATCCTGACAAACATCTACTTTGTCAATCCCCTTTAGCATTTTATGTAGTTAAATTTCCCGCATGTTTCTAAACTGTAAAAATTATAAACCTAAACTGATGACCCTCTCTTTGAGTGAAGCTTTCCATCTTTGGAATCAATCTAGTGAACCTTCTCTGAACTGCCTCCAATGCAATTACATCCTTTGTGTTGAGGCAAAGTGGAAGAATTCCAGCCTTCAGTAAATGTCTGTCTCTCTTTCAGGTTCCAGTATTCAGTCCTAATTGGCTCCTTACTCATCCCTATACTAGAGTACTATAAACTTGCCTATCTTTTATGTAGAGATAACAAGGTGTAGAGCTGGATGAACACAGCAGACGAAGCAGCATCAGAGGAGCAGGAAAGCTGACGTTTCGGGCCGAGACCCTCCTTCAGAAAACCCGAAACGTCAGCTTTCCTGCTCCTCTGATGCTGCGTGGCCTGCTGTGTTCATCCAGCTCTACACTTTGTTATCTCAGATTCTCCAGCATCTGCAGTTCCTACTATGTTTTATGTATTTTGTTTTGCAAGTTTGCCAAAGAGATGATTATGTCTTTCACTTTTCATTATTAGGCTTGGAACTACTGTGATTCCAATTAGATAGTCGACTAGTGATTATAGGAAAACTGAGTAGTAAGATTTCATGCCAAATATGAACCAATGCAGCTTTTCAGCCTCATTAGCTATACAAATTGCCGTGCTAGTGCATTGCCACTGTCCTGGCTGACATAACCACTGATTGATTGTTCGTTCTTTGTTTTACCCAGAGCTACTTTAAGGGAGGCAATTGCCTAGTGCTGTTAACACAAGACTATTAACCCAGAAACGCAGCTAATATTCTGGAGTCCCAAATTTGAATTCCTCCACAGCAGATGGTGGAATTTGAATTCAATAAAAAAACGTAAGAATCTTCAAATGATCATAAAACTATTGTTTGTCAACAACCCATCTGGCTCATTCAATGTCCTTCAGGGACATCTGCCATCTTACATTTGGTCTGCCCGACATGTGACTTCAAACCCGCAGCAATGTGGTTCAATCTTAAATGCCTTTTGAAGTGCCGTGGCAAGTGACTCAATTGTATCAATCATTACAAAGTCTCAAGAAAGAAATGAAACTGGACGGACCACCTGGCATGGACCTAGGCACCAGAAATGGCAATGGCAGAAGTAGCCCTGTCAATCCTACAAAGTCCTCCTTGCAAACATCTGGGAGAGCTGTTTCTCAGATTATTTAACAACAGCCTGATGATTTCAAACACTCAGAATCATACTTTAGAGACAATGTCTCAGATGCCACCATCACAGGATATGTCCTTAGAAATTTCATAGAATCCCTACCGTGTTTAAACAGGCCCTTCGCGCAGCAAGTAAGCACCGACCCTCGGACCATCCCACTCAGACCCGTCCCCCTATAACCTACCTAATCTACACATCCCTGAACACTATGGGCAATTTAGCATGGCCAATCCACCTAACCTGCACACCTTTTGGACTGCCGGAAAAAATCGGAGCACCCAGAGGAAACCCACGCAGACACGGGGAGAATATGCAAACTCCACACAGACAATCCCCCGACGGTGGAATCGAACCCTGGTACCTGGCGCTGTGAGGTTGCAATACTAACCACTGAGCCACCATGCCGCCCGTTCTGTCCCACTTACAGGACAGACCTACAGAGATAGTATATGGTCAGGAGAGAGTTGCAGTGGGACTCTTTAACATTGACTCTAGATTCTGTGAATTCTCATGGTTTCAGATTTAAACATTGGCAAGTAAATCTGCTGATGAATCAGCAGTCCTTGTGATATCAGACAGTTGAAGGCACTCCATACCGCAAAGGCTGTAGGCGATGACAACGTCCTAGAAACAGTATTGAAGACTTGTGCTCCAGAACTTGCAGCTCCCCTAGCCATGCTGTTTCAGTGCAGTTACAACACTGGCGTCAACCTGACAATTTGGAAAATTGCCCAGGTATGTCCGATACACAAAAAGCAGGAAAAAAAACCAACCCAGCCAGTTAGCATCCCATCAGTCTACTCTCTTGTCAGTAAAGTGATGGAGGGTAACATCAACAGTGCTATCGAGCAACATCTGCTCAGTGATGCCCAGTTTGGGTTCTGCCAGGGCCACTCAGTTCCTGACTTCATTACAGATTTTTGGTGCAAACATGGACAAAAGTGCTGAATTCCAGAAGCAAGATGAGCGTGACCATGATAGCCCTTGAGGTCAAGGCCACATTCCACTGAGTGCAGCATCAAGGAGCCCGAGCAAATCTGGAATCGGTGGAAATTTGGGAGCAACCTCATCTGCTATTTGGAGTCATACCTGGAACATAGGAATATCGTCACGGTTGTTGGAGGTCCGTTATCTCAGCTCCAGGACATTTGTGTGGCTTCCTCAGATTAGTGACCTGGGCCCCATCATCATCATCATCATCATCATCATCATCATCATCATCATCAAATGCTGCTTCAACTTTCCCTCCATCATAAGCTCAGTAGTAGAGATGTTTACTGACAGTTGTAATGTCAGTACCGTTGGCATCTCTTTAGATACCAAATCAGTCTATGTTCAAATGCAACAAGACCTGGACAATATCCAATCTTGGACTGACCACTTACAAGTGACGTTCACACCACACAAATGGCAGGCAATGATCATCTCCAATAAGAGACAAAATAACGACTGCCTCTTGAAATTCACTGGTGTTACCATCGCTGAATCCCCCATTATCAATATCCTGAGGGTTACCATTAATCAGAAGTTCAACCGGACTCGCCATAAATTATAGTGGCTACAAAAGGAGGTCAAAGGCTAGGAATACTGCGGCAAGTAACTCCCATTCTGACTCACGAAAGCCTGTCCACCATCTGCAAGGCACAAGTCAGGAGTGTGATGGAATACTCGCCACTTGGCTGGGTGGGTGCAGCTCCAACATTGCTCAAGAAGCTTGACACCAAAAAGCAGTCCACTTATTTAGTACATCCACATCTACAAGTATCCACTCTCCCCTCCAATGATACTTAGTACACACAGCTGCTACTTTCTATAAGATGCACTGTAGAAATTCATAAACAATCCTCAGACATCACCTTCCAACCCCCCAACCACTTGTATCTAGAAGGCTAGAGGAAATAGATACATTAAAACACCACTACCTGCAAGTTCTCCTCCAAGCCACATACCATCCTGACTTGGAAATATATTTTCGTACCTTCACTGTCTCTGGGTCAAAATCCTGGAATTCCCTCTAAGTGCACTGTGGGTAAACCTACAGCACATGGACTGCAGCAATTCAAGAAGGCAGCTCACCACCACCTTCCCAAGGGCAACAAATGCTGGCCTAGCTCATGACGCCCATGTCTCACAAGTGAATAAGAAGCAATCTTGCTTCAAAGCAACTCACATTTACATTCAGATGATGTACTTAAGTGTATGCTTGAACCTTTAGTCTACTTAGTACTATTGACTTTTCGTTACAATTTCACAATTTCACAATTGACTAGAGCTAGAAATCCATCTCTGTTGAGCCGAAGAGACTCTCATAGGAAAGCTTGAATCATCTTTGAGTTGAGTATCGAGGCTTACGCTTAACCCACTCATTAAGCGAAATTGATTTGTGTAAGGCCGTGACAAAATGAAGTTGGCATTGTTTCCAGTGCATTTCTTTCCTGCAATGATTAATTTCTGCCACAAAATCCAACTTGCATCATACACCCCAAATGATGCCACATCTTCCACATTGTACCTACAAGTTCTAAACTGTGAAAAAGGACTTATACATACTTGCCTGGTACACTAAAAGATTAACCTGCATTGTGATTCGCTTGTAACCGAAGAAAACCTAAATGTCTGTCTTGCCATCTCGTTGCAGCTGAGGAGGTCTTATCCACAATGAAATTTGCATTCTTAGCATTTTGAGGCATTGAAGCAAATTAACAATTAGAACAGCTAGCTCTTGCAATGCAGTTTTTGAGGTAGTTTCTTAAACCATGCAAAGCTAAAATAATATATGCAAGGATACCACCATGACTTAATGCAGGATCCATGGTTGAAATATTGAAACAGTAGGTTTCCTATCTACAGAAAGGAATACTATAGTAGTTCACATCCTGTCACTAGAATATCATTCAACACATTATTTAGAAAAATCAGTTAAATTATAGTGACAGTTTTCCACTTGATGCGTTATGATCCGATACCCTGGACCAACTGACGTTTTGGAAACTTTGAGAAAAGATACTAGAGTAAAAAGTTAAAGTATTGTGTTGAGTTCTTCTGGAATTGAGATTATAAAGAATTCTAGACATTACTCTGCCTTGAAGTGTATTAGAGGTAGGACTGCAGTATTGTGAACCTGATTTTTCAACAAGCAATATTTAGTGCTGGCGAATTTGCTGTTTTCACGTAGTTTTAATATTGTTGAAGCACAGAAGCATTGCGCTTAATTTGTCATGAAGAATAACAATTCCCTCAGATATCGCTGTTGCTTTTGATTGAAGTATGCTGTCAACTGTTTAATGTGACTATTTGTGGCTGTTACAGTATGCAGTAAAAGTGAGTACGCATTCACTGCATCGGATAATATTGCTGAATACGAATTCCATTGCATTAAATTTGTGCACTGTTTCTCTAATTTGCATTGTGTTTGACTGAAAGTGGTTTTCTAGCTCATTGATTTTTATCTACACTTGTGATGGTAGAAGTCGTTAAGTAAAAGATAGCAATCTGCCAATTGTCGTCGTCTTGGAATTTACTATTAACCACAAACTGAACTAGGTGAGCAGGTTTCTGAGGCAAGTAACTCCTCACCTGTCTTCCCAAGATGTGTCCACTACTTACAAGTCAGAAGTGCGATAAAGTGCTTTTCACTAGTTGGGATGAGTGCAGTTCCAATAACGTCTGAGAAGTTCAATATCACACAGAACAAATTAACCTGCTTGACTGACACCCCATCGAATACCTCAACATTCACTTCCTCCATTACCGACACAGTGGCAGCAGGGTGCACCATCTACAATATGCATTGCTGCAGCTCACCAAGGTTCCTTTGACTGCATCTTTGAAGCATGACCTCTGCTGTTGTCCTCCAAGGTGGCAATAGATGTACGGGAATGCCACCTGCAAGTTCTTTGCAAGCCGCACCTGGTTTGGATCTATGTCACTGTGAAGAAACGGTCACTAGATCAAAATTCTGAAACTTGCTTCCTGACAGTTGTGTGGCCACCCCATGCACTGTTATGGTTCCATAAAACTGCTCACCACTGCCATTTCACAAAGGCTAAGGATGCCCAACAATGCCAGCACCCTGTGAATGGAGGAAAGGTTTCAGTATTTGAAGCACAAAGGGATTTGGGAGTCCTAGTTCAGGATTCTCAAGGTTAAATGCAGGTTCGCTTGGCAGTTAGGAGGGCAAATGTGATGTTAACATTCATTTTGAGAGGGCTAGAATGCAAGAGCACAGATGTACTGCTGAGGCTGCACAAGGATTGGTAAGACCGCATTTGGAATATTGTGAGCACCTTTTTTGGGGGGGGGCTTGTATATAAGAAAAGAACAAGCTGGCATTGGGAGGGGAGTTCAGAGAAGGTTTACAAGAATGATCCTGGAATGAGGAGCAGTTGAGGACTCTGGGTCTGCATTCAGTTTTTATGGAGTTTAGAAGCGTGAGGAGGGAATCTGATTGAAACTTCAAGAATACTGAGAGGCCTGGATAGAATAGACATGAACAAGATGTCTCCACTAGTAGGAGAGTCTGAGACCTGAGAGCACAGCCGCTGAGTGAAGGGGACAACTTTTTAGAATTGAAATGAGGAATTTCTTCAGCCAGAGGGTGGTGAATCTGTAGAATTCATTACTGCAGAAGGCTGTAGAGGCCAAGTCATGCAGTATATTTAAGACAGAGATAAGTTCTTGATTGGTAAAGGGATCAAGGATTATGGGGAGAAGGCTGGAAAATGTGGTTGAGAAACATATCAGCCATGATACAATGACCGAGCAGACTCTGGGCTGATTGACCTAACTCAGTTCTTGTATGTTATGGTCATATTGAATAAATAAAAAGCAAAAGTATTTATGGACAGAAAATAGGTAACAGTTGACCATTATGTACTTGGTTTGGATGGTTGAGTAAGTTGCCTTTGAATTGTGTCATCAGTATTCATGAAAATTTATTTATACTTTTAATATGGGAGAATATGAAACAAACTGATGAGCAACATACTCCAGTATTTTTTAAAGAAGCAAGTGAGTTTAAATCTTAGATCAAAGCTTTATTGAAAAGTTTAAATTTAGTTGTTTTGGTGAATTTTGTTTTAGGTATTCAATCTTGGCTGTATTTTGCAACAGTTAAGCCATCAATGAATTCGCTGAGTCTGTTAAGAACCGTACAGTTTGCGCATAACTCTTAATTTGCTTTAGGATCTTTCAATCTTTCCATTTTTGAATTATTTGATTGCTTATGTTTTAATCTTTTTTGAGTCCTGCTGATTTTGTTATATGGTTCACAGCAGCTTAATTATCAATGGCAGAAGAGTGGACAGTTTGCACTGGAGTCAGTGGTACATAACTTAGCATGGGATCCGCAAGGTAAGAGAAAGGTTACAAGTTTGTTTAATGAATGCCAAGTAGTAAGCTGATTAAATTTAAAGCGAATGAGCTGACATTTTTTTCCAACGGTTATTTATCCAATATAATTTTTGCTGACTGAGTTTGGACAGTAAAGGTGAGAATGTTTCACTGTCAATAAGCCCTTTCTCCCAATATAATTCTGATTAAGTTAAGTGCCAGTAATGAAAATTTTAAAACAGCCTGGTGTCTTGAGGTGGAGATTATCTAGTTTGCATTTTCTTAGTAGTTTAAAAGGTAACAAATAATGAACATAATTAAAGAACGACTGTTAAGGTGGTGAAACATCCTTCGCCACTTCTTTGGAACATGACAGACAAAACTTTAAACTAATCCACACAAGGCATTGCTAGGACAAAGCATATTAGAAAAGAAAACATTTGATAAAAATTGAATAAATACATTTGGGTAAACTATCCTACAATAGAAAAATGGATTGTGGGTAGCACAATACAGCGAGATGATCATGCTGTAGGTTGAGTGCACCCAATCTGCATTTCACTGGGGAGATGAAATGCAGCTTTGGCCCCTTTTCTAAACACCTGTGGTCTGTCCATAAAAATGACCCTCCAGTCGTCTGCCACTTCAACACATCACTCTGTTCCCATGCCAACGTTTCATGCCTACTGCAGTGCTCCAGCAGTCCTCGGTGGAAGCTGGGGAAAGAGCACCTCTGCTTCTGCTAAGGAACCTAACAGTTTTCGGGATTCAGCATTAAGTTTAACAATTTCAGAACATGATCACTGTCCTCCATGTTTTGTTACCCTAGGTTAGCACCCTATCTTGTCATCAGCACTTTGTGTTTGTCTGCCTCAGTCTCTCGCTTCTCTTACATCAGCGTGCTCTCTCTATATGATGCTTCCCCTGACCAGAGATGGGTTCACATTGTCAGGGTACAGGCCATTTCAGACTAGGTGTTAAATTTCTTCGCTCGGGTGGTGGTAAGCTTGTGGAATTCTCTACCCCAGCAGGCTGTGGAAGTGAACTCGCTGAATACGTTTAAGAAAGAAATTTCTGGAAGGTGAAGTTGTGAAGGGGTCTTGGGGGAGAGCAGAAGTATGACCATGCAGAGTAGAAGACCAGCCACAATCGTGTTGGATCGTGTAGTGGGCTAAATGGTTACTCATCAATTTCTGTTTCTGTATTAAAGTTTTTACTAGTTTACCAAGGAGGAGAGTCTCTCAAATATCTAATTGTACATGAAGATGGGGCCAGAAAAATCAGGGGAATGAGAACAAAGTAGCTAAGTTAAGCAAGTATTTATGGAAGTGACATTCTAAAAATTAAAGGTGACCAATGGACTAACAGGCATTGAGTTTGTATTGGCCTGGCAGGATTTTCTACGTCCTAATTCTTCTAAGCTATTAGTGAATGCAGGCCCAGTTGATTCAATCTCTCCTTGTGAAAGTGATCAATATTAATTTCTAGGAAAATGCTGAAACCTATTATTCATGCAGTCTGAAGAATGCATGTAGAAAGTAATAATCTGGTTTACAACGGGAAAGTAGTGTTCGAAAAATTTACTTGACCTTAAAATTCTATAAAGGACTTTGTTTAAACTTGGATTTTTTTTAAAAAAGTGTTCAGTAAATTAAGGCTGAAGAATTTGGGGAGGTAACTCATTGGCACAGGAGAAGGATTGTTTAATAACAGGATGCATATACTAGAGATAAAAGGAAAGTTTTCATTTTGCATTTCACCAGTTGAGTGCTTCAAATTTTTACAATCTGTTTTGACTTTAGTGTAGACAGTAGCAACATTTGCTAATGATACATAGCTAGTTGAAAACATAGGCTGCAGACAGGTAAAGATACTGGATCAAAAACCTGCAACTCCCTACACCATATGGATCAGAGCTGTTCAAGAAGCTTAAGGGTAATTAGGCATGGCTAATAAATGCTGGCCTAGATAGTGATGCTCACTACTTACGAATATTTTTCAGAGTCAGGCTGGGGAATGACATGGCAAATGGAGTAGACTGAAAGGTGGTGATGTCGCCGGTGAGATAAATCTGGATATTGTCAGTTTATGAAACCTGTGTTTTTGTATAATGTTTCTGTAGGGTGGCATTTAGATGAAAAATGGGAGGGCACCAAAAAGAGCTCCTCAGGCCCTCGTAGAGTATTGACTGGGGAGTGCTCAGAAAGCCGTTGCAGTTGGGTCTTGTGTCACAACTGCGAATGAAGTTTGACACAACTGGATAATACAGGAGAGCTGGTTGACATGATCAGCTGTTTCAAAGGATGCAGGCCAGCCAAGAATAATGAGAAGGGATTGTTAGTGATGGCTAGTCACATATGATGCCATTTCTGGTTTGATGACAGCCAATAAGTACGCTGAGGTGGGTGTGGACAATCTAATTGAAGGGATTCAGAGAGCGCTGTAAGAAAGATAGATGTAGATTTTGGAAGGCAGTGGCACCCTTGAGCAAGAAAGGTTGGTGGTTAGTATTTTTTGTTGAGGGCGCTGTCTGCAGATTTATGTTTAGGGAAGGAACAGTTCCAGAGGAGCAGGGGCCTTTACCAGTAACAGGTATCGTAGGAGCCAGAATGGGAAGTTGGCTCATTGGCAATTTTATATAAATAAGAGTGAGGGTGTAGGAGTGAGCATCCTGGAAAAAATGAGCTCAGAAAGGACTTGTGGAGTGATTGAGAAACAAGCAGAAGTGCAACATCAGGATGAGTGCAGGGGTACATTTGCCTGCATGGATAGAGGAAAAGTAAGGAAGGAGCTTAGCTCCAAAAGCTTGTGTTTTCAAATAAACCTGTTGGATTATAACTTGGTATCATGTGATTTTTGACCTAAGTTACAGAAGTAATAGAATTGATGATCTCAATTTTAGTGATTCTTTTGATTCCTTGCGTTTGTTCAAAAAATCTAGCAAAGGATGCAGTGAACGCTAAACCTTTGTCTTACGCACTTGCAGATTTAGTTTGTTGTCAAGATGTCACCTTCTTGAAAGACATTTTTTCCAACATGATATGCAAAACTGTTTAACTTGCATCAGTATGTAAATTGCATTACCATTCTTATATAATGCTTGGAAGAAGTAGGGATTTCAGAACAAAAAGACCTTTTTTTAATTTTGTTGAGCCTTTCAGCACAGGTGTCCTGAGATCAGTTTTGAATGTTTAAACAGCTTTCAAGTAACAAACATTTTTCCATTTTAGGAATCCGTCTCTTGACGGGTTCCAATTCTTTACAGCTTTGGTCCAATGGAAATCTGGAAGCTAATATTAATGAGGAGGAAACTGCAGATGAGACAGATCCAAGTAAAGTTGGTGATTGGACATGCGTCTGGGAGTCTAAGTAAGGGAGCATATGACTTTTGTTATGAACTACAGACAAATTTAGCTTGTAAAATATAAAGTAGTTCTTAAATGTTGTTAAATTTTAATCACTTGTTAAACAGTTTGATATTTATGTAAAAATAGAGCATGGAGGCTATTCAGCCTGTCATACCTGCGCTGGCATTTAGTGCAACTATGCAATTTATTGCATTCCTCCATTCTTTTTCCATTGCTCTGTATTATATGTTCCTTTCAAGTCATATTTCCGATTCCTCTGTATGTTGATATTGAATCCTTACAGTATATTCTGGATCACAATGACTGTTCTCAGGAAAATTGTTTCATGGTATCACTTCTAATTCTTCCATCAATCACTTTTAAATTTGCGTGCTCTGTTTGAGCCTTTCAGCCACTGAAAACAGTTGCCCTTTATTTAATTTGACCTAACACTTCATAATTTTAAACACTTCTATGAAACCTTCTGCTGGAAAGAAACATCCCCAAATTCTCTAAAAAGTAAAATGCTGATGATCTAAATTAAAGCAACGTGCTGGACAAACTCATTGGATCTGGCAGCATTTGCGAAGTATAATTAGACTTGAATTGTATCATTTTTAGGTTACATTTTGATTGAGAAAACCATATTCTCCCCCCTGTCCCATTTCTCTGCATTGAATTTCATCTCGCATGTTTATTAATTTCACCAGCTTGGCTGTGTTCTCTTGAATCTATTATCTTCCTTTCCGTTTACTATATTTTAAGTTTCCAACTTTGCCATGACTGACATGGGAAATCAAGCCCCAATATTCCCAGAGTTGTCACAAATGTGAAAATTTCATTAAACTACCAAAATGGCCTATTTTAGCTGACTATCTAATTCCAGTTACAAGAATGTTCACACCAGGCTTTTCTTAATCAATAACAAGAAAATCACTTTTTGTAAGCAGACTGTTTTAACCAATGAAATAAATAGAGAATCTTGGAGATACTCAGTAGGTCTGACACATCTGTGGAGAGAGAAACAGTTAATATTTTGAATCTGGTATGAAACTTCTCAGGGTTCTGTTTCAAATTTTCAACATATGTAGTGTTTCTATTTGAGATTTAACCAATAGCATAAAAGAAATGATTTGCTAACATAACTCTGTAATTTGAACTCTACCTTTCGTAAAAAAAAAATTCCCATATGCACACAAACAGACATATAGACAAGACACATCTTTACAGGTGGGGAAGGAATGAGAAAGTCAGCAAAGCATAGTTCAAGTCTGAAGTGGGTTACAGGCATTTGAGTTGTTTTCCTCCTCTTCCCTTCCAGTTCCTTTTTAACTGTTTGAGAGCATGAGGTTGTGGGCACCACAATTGTCAATTTTTCTTTTGATTGCTTGAGCTTCAATCTTTGAATGTCTCTCTAGTTTCTCCCCTTTCGCTTTCAAAAAGAGAACTTGCAGAGAGAAAGTAGGTAGCTCTCAGAATTTTCATTTCTTGATTCTCAGAAGGGAGGAGGAGAGAGAGAGATTTATATGCTTTTCCCTTAACAGGCTGAATGTTTATTTTTTTTTCTGTATTGTTCAAACCAAGCTGTAGCCACCTGCTCAGGAATGAGGCAAGATGTTATAATGCTTGCCACTCCTGAGCATACACAACTGATCCTGGTTGACATATCAAGCGTCACTGGGGAAAGCTGTCCTGAACACATCCACAAAGTCAAGGTGCCCAGCATCCGCCCACTGCTGAAATATTTGTAGAAACAGCTCTTAACGATTTCAGCTGACTTTTTTTAGTACCTGCAAGATCATCTTCCAGTGTCTTTATTGTAAAATAGTGGCTTTTCCCATTTTTTTTCATCGAGTCAAATGTAATAGTGGTCTTTACAGAATCATCTCAAATTTCATGATTCTGCCTTATAACACCAAATCCAATTCCTTAGTGTGTCAAAAATAGCAATGCTCCTCGTGCTAAAACATGGGCAACATTTTAAGACTACTCTGAAAAGCAACCATTAACCATAACTCAATGGCCCTTGTCCACTAGCTTATTTTTGTATCCCACAAGCTTCAACTTCACTAACATGCTTAACGTTTATTTATTTTGTGCAGTTTTGGTCTCTTTACCTAAGGAAGGGTGTATTTGCTACAGAGGAGTGTAACAAAAGTTGACCAGACTGTTTGCTGGGATGGTAGGATTGTCCTAAGAGGAGAAATTTAGGCATTGATCTCTATTGAGAAAAGATCTTGCTGAAATAGGCAAAAAAAAATTTATAGGGCTTAACAAGATAGATATAAGAATGATTTTTCCCCACGCTCTTTTGTGGAGTGGAAAGCTTTGGCTTGGGGGAGTTGAATCTATAGCTGTGGGACACAGTCTCAAAATAAGGGACAACTTTGTGGACTGAAATGATAAATTTTTTCACTAAGGGTGGTGAATCTTTGAAATTTTGTACTGTAGAGACTTGTGGAGCTTCAGTCATTGTGTATTCAAGACAGGTGATCAATAGATGTCTTGGAATTGAAGACATCAAGAGGTCTGTTAATGTGGGAAGATAATATTGAGGTAGAAGATCAATTATGATCCGGTTGAACACAATTACGAAATTGACTGAGGGATAAGAAACAGTAATGGTTAATAGGTATCCTTTGGGCTGGTAGAAAATTTATAGTGGAATTCCCTAGAGTTCTGTACTGAGACTCATGCTTTCCTAATATATATAAATAATGTACTACTTGGTGTGTATGGGACAATTTCAAAGATTGGGATGACAAAAAAATTTGGGAGACTTAAAAATTGAAGACTGTGTAGAACTTCAAGATGGGCAGATAGTTGGTGGATGAAGTTCAGTCACTATTCCAAGTCACTATTCAAAAGGGTGTGCAGGAGCAGTGAGACTTTGTACATATTATTAAAAGTGGCAGCGCAGGCAAAGAGTGCTAAAATGAAACAAAATTGTAGACTTCTTAAATAGGAGTATCAAGTACAACAGCAAGGTGATTATGATGAACTCGTATAAGTCACTGGTTAGGAATATTGTCACTAAAAGAGTGACTTCCTTTAGAATATTTAGGAAAATAATTACTATTGTGCACAGCATAATTTTAAATTTGCTAATGAATACACCATCTGAATTCAAATTTTGAAGTTGAATTTGAGGCTTATATATTAGAAGTATGTTTGATTTAAATTTGAAAGGTTACATGATTTATTGCAAGTTTGCATGTATTTGTCTGCATTTTATAATGTGTAACAGAAACAAACAATTTCAAATAAATGTCTTGAAGAATTGATTGAATATAACAATCAAGAAGAAAATACAAGATTGAAGCTGATGCTGTACTCAAGCATCAGATGCAAACTAGGTTTTGTTTTGTAAAGCTACATTCTAACCAGTACAAATTATCAATGCATAACGTAAATGCACTTTTCCTCAAACTAATGAGGCTGTGATACTTCACCTATTTACCTAATAAGATCCACCGTGGAGCTGTTTATGGTGCCATACTGTCAGGTGTGTACTCAGTCACAAAATCAATTTCTGACTCCTGCGTCAATCTAATTTTTTTTTTTGAGCCTATTTAAACCCCCAATTCCAATTATCCCCTCTGCATGTTCTTGACCAGTATTATGTCTCACATGGAGAGTGCACTGGAAATCAAGCCCCAGTACTCCCAGAGTCATCTCAAGCATTGGGGAACAAAAAAATTGTCAGGGTACTTAAACTTTCCAATTTACCCCTCAGATAGACTTGGGCGGACACAAAACATTTTCTGTATTTAACAAGAACTGCAATTTATTTCAAATGATAAGTTTTTTTACTTGTTAGAATCTGTGAATTGTCAACACATAACACTACTATTTAAAACTCTAACCCCTTTCTAACACACACTGCTTTTTATAGATGGATGAAAATAAATACTGGGGAAACAGTTCCACAGCACCATTCTTCGGGATTCGATGCAGGGATTTCTTTCATTCGAGGCACAAAGCTCAAAAATTGTGAAGTCTGACTCGTTAGTTCTAAGCTAATGCTTTTAGCAGTTGGTGGGAACAAAGAACTGTGTTTAACTTCCAGTATTTTACTGGATGGTGGGGTCAGAGAGAGAGAGAGGGGCACGCATAGGCGCTCATACCTTCCCTTCCAGGATCCTAAGGGCTGCTTACACCCAGAAGCTGTTCAGCTATCCAGGCAGAGATGAGAGTTTCATCAGGCTGATGACTGTTGGCATCTGAAACTGGTTGCAATCCCACAAACTTATCAGCTGCATGCTGCCTGCTAAATCTCTCACCATGTGCTGATGCCTCTGTGTTGTGGTATTCTTGCATGTCCCTCACTGCTTGCAAAGTAATTGTGTAAACATGATTTAGAATGATTTTCATAAACTTGTTCTTTAGAAGTACAATTCCTTCCTCACCTTTTTTGTTATAAAACAATCTTGCTCAATTCAGCCCACAATCAAAATTAAAGTAAAATAAAATGATGCTGTCTTCCCACCGGGCTTGCAGAGATAATTAGCAGTGTTGTGCATCACAAAATTAGCAATCTAATAAAATTTTAATACAATTTCACTCGGTTTTGTTATGTAGGCTTTTATTGTTGTCCATAACTTTGATATCCTAAATAATTCTGCAGCCTACACACATTGTACAAGTTAAATTATGGAATAAATACATTAGTATTTATATGCACGACAACATAAAGTTATCCAAATGTGTCAAAGCTTACAGATAACATTTATTTCCTCTCCAATAATCTATTGAATGCCAAATGTAATGTAAATTGCATTAAAGAATAGGCTCAGAATCCTGCATTATAAAGCAAACTAAATCACAAAACCTAATAGTTTACATTAAAATTGCTTTAATTCTTGCTTCCATACATGCAAATGTGTATTCACTATGAACATATTAAGTCCCTGGCCACTGAAAATATTCCAAATCAATCTTGATAAAATTGTATTTTAATAAACAAATCTTTTTGAAGGAAGAAAGTTACCTGGCGTTTGATTACAATTCATAAAAATCCTGCAGCTACCATGAATAGGCAACATTACTAGTATTGTTATGGCACAGGCGCAGGTCATTAGATTGCATGAATGGACACAATGCCTAGACACTTAAATTCCCTACTCCATCCCTTTTCTACTTATTGCTTTAAGTTAATAAAGACAAGAAGTCTGTGTCGGATTGACAGTGTTTCTGAAGCCATTGTGAATTGCTTGGATGCTTGGAAAAAATTTGCAGTTGGACTTCCTACTTGCATGATCAAAAACAGAAGTTGCTGGAAAAGCTCAGCAGGTCTGGCAGCATCTGTGAAGTAAAGATCAGTGTTAATGTTTTGGGTCTGGTGACCCTTACCTCTGATCTTTTCTTCACAGA